GTAATCCGTGGTGAATGGTGAATCCTTCCATTTGGATGAGAATGGAATTCTGTAAAGGTACATAAGAAACAATTTAGGGACTATAGTGCCATCCTAAGGCAGGAGGACCCCAGAGGAAAGATGGGTAATCAGTAAAGAAAAAACTCAGTTGAAAGAATATTTCTAATCCCTCAAATCTAGCAGACGGCAAGAGCAATAGTACAGCAGGTAGGGTGCCTTGCATGCAGCCAATCCTGGTCCAATCCTTGGCATCCCATGTGGCCTCCCAAACCTGGCAGGAGTGATTCCTGAGTACAGAGCCAGGAGTTAAGCCCTGAACACAGCCAAGGCAGGCATCCCGCCTCCCCACCCTATCCCCACCCCATCAAACAAACAAACAAAAGTCTAGCAGATAATGAACTTGGTGTGATAGAGGGACTGAGTTTAGTAAAGAGATATGATATGGATCCAAACAAATGCAATGTCAGACAATGAAAATAAACACATCTGCAAAGAGAAGAGAACAGGCAGCCCAACCCATGAAAAGACTAGAAAAGACTTTTTTTTTTCCAGACAGAAGCAGTGTTTGAACAAGCCTTGGGTGTAGCCAGAGCACAGAGCACAGGTTCTGGGAGATAAAAAAGAAACCAGAGAGGGACACTGGGGGAGGTGTCTGTACACCAGTGGAGGGAAACAGACAAGGCTGGAGAGCAGCACTGAGGGGCAAAAGGAGGTTTACATCCCTGAGCCTGACTGCCGGAGTGAGCCATCTGCATCATCATCTTGGAAGCCTCCTGGATTGTGACAAACTATGCTCAGGATGACAGATCAAGAGAGATGTGACTGATGGGAAATAGATGACAGCAATAGGCGGTAAGCGAAGATGAAGGACATGTGAGGTAGTTCATCCTGCCAGAGAATGATGAGAAAAGGAGGACAAAGAGTAGGGTGAGGAAGAACATTCTGATTTCCTGGTATGAGAAACCAGAGGCACCTTTTAAGAAAGAGCAAAAGTCCTCCTAAAGCAAAGGGACAATCACTGAGAAAGCAGGGTGTGGATAGAATATCTGACTGTGTAAGGCAGGGCTGCTCCAGGCTTTCCTGAAAACAAGTTTCCCCTGAGATCCCTGAGGGATGTCATTCTGTGCCTGCTACTGAAGACCAGTGAAAAGGGGACTCATCATGTCCACTAGACAATATGATGACTGACCTCCAGCTTCCACTGTTTACTGCCTCAACTGCCTGATTGTAAGCTAAGCTTTATTCATTTATTCAGACCTCTCTGGAGTGAGGTAAAATTTAACCCTTTCCCTCAAAACTATCTTCCCGCTGGTGCTGGCCACAAAACAGACACTCAGCAGTCTGACCATCTGGTCATATCTCTGACCAAGTCAGATCTTCCATCTGGAACTTGGTGTTGGATCTCGAGAATAGGAAGACAAAGGAACTTAGGCATAAAATGAATTTAAGCGTAATAAACTACTAAATCTTTGGGCCAGAGCTATAGCAGGTAGGGCATTTGTCTTGCATCTGGCCAACCCAGGTTCAATCCCTGACCTCCCATATGACCTCAGGAGTACTACCAGGAGTAATTCCTGAGTGCAGGGCTAGGAGTAACTCCTGAGCATTGCTAGGTGTGACCCCAAACTCAAAAATTAATTAATTAATTAATTTAATATACTACTAGACCAAAGCTAAGGGAAATGTGTCTCATGCCAAGATTCAGGAATCAGTCAATGGCACCTCCATTCCTCTCCACAACCCACAACCTTCCACACCTCCCCACAACACACCCCCAAAGAAAAATCTACTTTGTATTTCAGCAGGAAATATGTTTAAAACTGTATCTAGCTTTATGTCACCTCTTGTTATCCTGTCACCACTCATCCTATGCCTTTCTGACCCAGTGGAAGAAGGCCTCCGATTTGAAGTGATTAAAACAAATGGGGAACGTTTGTCCAGGGAGAGTGGAGGTCAGGACAAAGTAGAAACCGGTTCTCTTGACTTTTGCCTGCCTTGTAGGTAAGAAGTACCTATATTTTGCTCCCATCCTTCATTCCTCTCTTCCACTATGCCGGGCGTTAGAGTTATTTAAATTTTAAGTTAGATAATTCTCAGTTCAATTTTTAAACAAGAAAGTCCTAACCTAAGAAATAATAGTTTCTTACTCATAGTTAAATGACCTCTGTTTTCCAAGAAAGAGAAATTCTAGAAATTCTACCAGAATTTTGAAATATGGTTCCTTGAAATGCTCAGAAAATTCACAGCTAGCATCATGAAGGACAACCATGCGAGCAAGCCGGGTTCCGCAAAGGATTCAGCACCATCGACCATATCCACACGATAACCAAGCTCATTGAGGTTTCTCGGGAGTTCAAGATGCCGCTCTGTTTAACGTTCATTGATTTAAAGAAGGCCTTTGATTCTGTTGAGACGGAAGCGGTCATTGAAGCCCTAGCCAATCAGGGCATTCAAGCCCAATACATCAGGATCCTCCGTGAGCTGTATTGCGGATTCACTACCAGGATCTCACCATTCTACAAAGAAGTGATCGTTGATGTCAAGAGAGGGGTGCGGCAGGGTGATACCATTTCACCGAAACTCTTCAGTGCCACTCTAGAGGACATCATGCGACGACTGGAATGGGAAAACATGGGAGTGAAGATAGATGGTCGGCAACTACACCACCTCCACTTTGCTGATGACATTGTTTTAATAACACCAAACATCAGCCAAGCGGCACAAATGCTGGCCGACTTTGACCGTGAGTGTGGAAAGGTAGGACTACAGCTGAATCTTACGAAGACAATGTTTATGAGAAACAGCCTTGTTCCTGACGCCCCATTCGCTCTCAATGGAACGACCATCTCCGAATGCAACAGCTATGTGTACCTAGGTCGAGAGGTCAACATGACAAATGACCTGGCACCCGAGCTGCGCAGGAGGAAGAGAGCGGCTTGGAACGCCTTCAAGAACGTCAAAGAAATAGCTAAGAGGACAAAGAACCTCCGGCTCCGGGCACATCTCTTTGATTCCACTGTTCTTCCTGCATTAACATATGCCTCAGAGACCTGGGCCCTACGCAAACAAGATGAGAACGCTATTCAGGTCTCCCAAAGAAGAATAGAAAGAGCTATGCTTGGAATATCACGTTTCACTCAAATGAGAGAACGAATCCGGAGTTCTGACATCCGTCGACAATCAAGGATCAGGGACGCTGTCTCATTTGCCAAGGTGTCGAAAATCAGATGGGCTGGTCACGTAATGAGATTTAAAGACGACCGTTGGACTAGAGCTGTTACTGATTGGATTCCACGGGATGTCAAAAGACCGCGTGGCCACCCACCTACCAGATGGTCAGACTTCTTCGTCAAGATCATGAACGATCGGTTTGAGGCCCTTCATGTTCCCGGAGTGAACAGATGCCATTGGGCTACACTAGCACGCGACAGGGACAAATGGAGACATTACTGGCGCCCGCTCGAGCAAATCGACGACTAACGGGAAGTTAAGTGATTAAGTGATTAAGCATCTACCATGGCCAGCTAATATTAATTTTAGGCTATTTTCACTATAAAGAACAGACCCTTAAGAACTGTCACTTTGCTTTACTTAAAGGAACACAGAGCTGAGAACCAATCAAGCTCCGTGACAATAACTTCCTTGGACTAGTGATGTCTCCTCTCTAGGCTCATCCATAAAGATGCTATTTAGATTTCCGATCTTTGGGTTCCTTTTCAACTGTATATTTCTATTGCCCTTTGACTGTGGGATAAGTTGTTATATTTATAACTAAGATTTTCTTAGAGTTAAGCAGCATCCCCTAACAGAAGCATCTACAAGAAACTGACCAATTGACTCCTGAGATTCTGTCTCCCTAAAGACCCTCCCAGGACTCCATAGGTGCTCCAGCTTCCAAGCTCTTTTAGAACCTGGCTGGACTGGCAAGATCTGCTAGTACCACCTCTGAAGAGCAGTAATCTCTGGTTTTGTCCCATTACCAGTGCCAATGTTCAGACACCAATAACTGGGGAAAATGAAATCACTGTTGAAGACTAAGACCTGGTCCCTTTGACCTACCTTCTGCCTTCTCTGGACAAGAAACTTGCCTCTTGTGGTCAGCAAGGTGGGGATATGTGTTCATGCAGGAACTGGTTCCTTTTTGTTTACTTTCAGTGACAAGTTCCATTGTGAGCACATTTGCTGCCTTCACTCAGCATGTGGTCGGATCTGGAGTAACTGAAGAGTCTTTGGCTCATGTCAACCACAATTTTCTTGTGATTCATGGTTTCATGCTTGGGCAGAATTGACTAAGAGGATTACACAATTAAATTGGAAGTCAAGGAAAGGGTCATGATGGGTCCTTTCAGTCTCTTAAATCTTAGCAGTTGGACCCAAGATATAGTACAGGGGTTAAGGTGCTAACTTACGTGCCTCCACTCTGATCCCAGGCATTGCCAGAAATAACTCTTAAACACAGAGCCAAGAGAAACCCCTGAGTGCATCCAGAAATGTCAAAAAATCTAAACAAAAGATAAAAAGAAAAAATATATGGAGTCAGAGAGACAGTATGGGGGTTAAGGTGTGTGCCTTGCTTGTGGTGAAACTCTGTTCAATCACTGGTACCACATACAGCTCACCAAACACAACTAGGAGTGATCCCTGAGCTCAAAGTCCATAATAATCCTTGAATACTATAGGTGTAGTCTCCAAATTTTAAAAAACAAAATGAATCTCAGCTGACCTGCCCCTGCCCTGTAATTGACACCAGGCCAGGTGAGTTGACCATGCAGTAATATCATCAGAGCTAGAAAAGACACCCCCCCCCCCCCCCAAACTGTGTCTCTGCTTGTGCTTAGGTCATGTCCCACAGAATATTTATAGTACTGCTGGAAACTATAATGTTACTTCCTAGAGTTGTATGAGGCTACAAACTGCACATCTATAAAACATAAACACACTAGATGGTCTCAAGTGTAAAGAAAAGGGTAATGAATGGGTCTCACTTTCTTCTCTCTCAGTGGCAGATTGTGGAATCCCAGCAGAACTGGAACATGGGTTGTTCATCTTCTCCTCCAGGAAAAACCTTACCACATACAAATCTGAAATCAGATATTCTTGCCAGCAACCCTACTACAAAATGCTCCAAAATATTACAGGTGAGCCCTCCTTGCTAAACTGACTCATCCCTGCCTAATATACTCTGGGTGTGGAGTTATATAAAGACTCTGACAGTCAATGGCTCATGGGTTGGGAGAAATTAAGAGAAAAATCACTAAGAGTCAGAGGGAGAGGGACAGATATAGAATGATTGGACTAACTTTGTGCGATATAAAGAAAACACATAGTATGAGACTAATACCCAAGGATAGGGGAAACAAGGGCTAGGAGGAATGGTCCACGGTTGGAAGCTTGCCACAAGTGGTGGTGGGAGGTGGGGGGGGAGTGGTGGAAAGGCTAGAATAGAGAAGGAAACACTGTGCCAATGATGGTCTGAAATGATCACTCTGGACAAGAACTGAGTGGTGAAAGTAGGTAAAGCAAAAAGCATGATACCTCTCAGTACTTGTATTGTGAACCATAATGCTCAAAAGGAGAGAGAGAGAGAGAGAGAGAGAGAGAGAGAGAGAGAGAGAGAGAGATGAAAGAAAGGTGCCTGCCATAGAGGTAGGCTGGGGATGGGGAGGGAAGGGAAATTGGGGACACTGGTGGTGGGAAATAGACATAAGTGAAGAGATGGGTCTTTGCCACTAACTGGCACTGAGAAAACTCCCCTAGTTCTTTAAAACTCCAAGTTTTCATTTTGCAAAACGACAGCAGAGGCAAAACTTAGTTTTCTCAACTTGGAGGCATGTGGCCCCCTATGAGTCCCCAGGATATTCCAAGGGTATTCCAAGACACCAATGTAAAAATCTTGAACATGGGGAGGAAGCAAAGGTATGAGACTAAGGGGGTCAAGTGGTAGAATGGAAGGACCACAGGAAAGAAAGAAGGTTGAAATGTGACTAAGATCAAAAAAAGATTGAAAATCACTGATCTTGCTCACAGAACTGTGGATTCAAATGCAATGTTGACATAAGTGGTTTATCAAAAAGCTTAGTAGGTATAAGAGAGGAGGGCAAAAGAAGCCCACAATGCAGTGTGATCCAAGGGCTGCATAACTGATGAGGAAATGGCTTTCATGGAGAAAGTGCCACAAACAGGAAGGACCCCATTGAGCAGAGCCTGGGGCTCCACGTCGAAGAATCTGATGTCTGTTTAAAATAATTTTGAGCAGAGGAGATACATGTACAGATTCCCATTTTGGAAAAATATGTCAGGTTTTAGAGAGGAAGACTTAGGGGAAATGTCATCAAAAAGATCATTTAGACCTCTACTAGGGTAAGAAAGATATTATTTATCCCTAGCTTGCTAAGGGATCTTATACACTTTCAATAACAAATTAACTTTTCATTTATATTGAATGTTCGTGTCTGTAAGTTTATTACATCTATAGAGATTTTTATCGCAAAATTTTACTTATTAATGCAGATTCCTAAGTAACATCTATAATATAATATTTTCTAATATAAAACCATATTCTTTAATAGGTAATAAAAGAACAAAGTGTTTTATTCTAAGAATAAATTTTATAAGAGTAAAGAGAATTAAGAACATTTTAAAGGGAAACTCTGAATAGGTAATAAAAGAACAAAGTGTTTTATTCTGAGTTTCCCTTTAAAATGTTCTTAATTCTTTTTACTCTTATTAACTTTTGCATTTGTAGGTTTTATCTATTTCATGTAAACTCTAAAATATATTAGCATAGATTTTTTAAAAATTTTATTAATGACAGGGAAAACAAGATAATTACCACAACAAGATCCAAGTACAAATAAAATTTAGTACACAACGTATTTTGAATGCCAGAGTTAAAAACTTTTTTATGCAACAAGAATAAACATTATATTATATGGTTTGAATTTATTTACATAGGTTAAAATCACAAAGAAATCATCACAAATTAACTTATTGATTTACTTTCTGATAACTTCACTTGCCATTCCTTTAAGTTTTGGAACAAGCAATATGAAATAAATTTGTTATATGCCTGCCAGGGGGGCAGGCTGTGGGACAGGAAGGAACCTGGAGAGAGACATTGTTGAAAGGAAGGTCACACAGATGATAGGATGATGTAACAATGCTACGCCTGAAACAACTCTATTAAGAGCAACTTTGTAAAGCATGGTGCCTTAATAAAAATAAATTTTAAGGAAAGAAAGCTCATTTAGAAGACTTGCAATGATCCACAATGAAGCATTAGAAACTGGTATGTTTTCCATGTGCTCTAAATCAACTATTGTCTCTCTCTTACCCAAGCTTTTTTCCCTCCATTACCCCAGGTATATATACATGTTCTGCCCAAGGAGTCTGGGTGAATGAAGTACTGGGGAGAAGCCTGCCCACCTGCCTGCCAGGTACCTTACTCTGCAGTCCTCTACCTCAAGGTCTCCTACCCACAGCCTTAGGGCCACTGATGAGCTTAGTAAGGTGGGGGAGGCATGATGATTCAACTGTCTTTTAAGAAATGTCATCAGAGGGTCGAAAGTCGGAGAATTTAGCTGCATGCTTTCTCAAACAAACTAGATTGTAGACTTAGCCTGTACTATCACTCCTTTCTGTTTCTCCTCTCTGGATTTCTGCTCCTTTTACCTGGTTTAACCAAACACAATTTGTGTGTGCACCTGCAGGGTTCCAAGGAATTTAGGTGGATGCTATAGAGAAAATGAATATCAGATGAGGAAGAAATAACTCTATGTAGAGCCAAAAGTTCTTCCAAAGAGTAATATAGTCAAATATTTCCGATTGCTGCCTCTCCAGCGTTCACCTCCGGCCTCCACTTTAAAATAGAAAGATAAATTTGTAGCAATAGCAAGTGTCATTGTTCATACAGATTTGGGGTGCATATTTTGTTGATAATTTTCTTTGTATTAAAAATAATGAATATTTGCATTAATATCATAGCATGTACCTATGTTCAAATAGAGTTATTAAAAAATATGGCCCAAGATGCATACCATACAATTAAATGAATACTCTGCAAAAATTACTATTTGCAGCACAAAATTTTTTTTCTTTTTGGGTCACACCTGGCAATGCACAGGGGTTACTCCTGGCTCATGCACTCAGGAATCACTCCTGGCAGTGCTCAGGGGACCATATGGGATGCTGGGAATCGAACCCGGGTTGGCTGCTTGCAAGGCAAGCACCCTACCCACTGTGCTATCACTCCAGGTCCCTGCAGCACAAAATTTTACACTTTAAAAAAATGAAAGAATATCAGGCTGGAGAAATAGTACAGTGGTAGGCACTTGTCTTTCAACCCGGGTTCAATCCTGGCATCTCCTATGGTTCCCTGACAACTAACGTGAATAATTTCTGAGTGCATAAGGAATAACCCCTGAGCATTACCAGGGGTGGCCCAACATCCCTTGAAAACAAAAGGGGAAAAAAGAAGAAAGAATAGTAGAAATTGGAAGGTACAACCTTTCAAGATATTTGTAGTATAGTTAAGTGTTGAGTTGTTTTTGTATTTTAATGATGTTGAATGGTAAGTAAATAGAAGTCATGTATTATTTGAACAGTACATTTTAAGGGCCTTCAATATTTACTCAGCAAACCTCTAGATGTTAGATTAGACATTAAATGGAAAGTTGAAGGAGTTGCTTGTCATCAGTCCTCAAGAACTGAGAAGTTAGAATGTAGAAAGCTATTTTATCTAATATCATATCATCTATCTTTCCATGAACTCTATTAAACAAATACTTCTTATTTCACACATGAGAAATAAGTAAATATTAATGAGCTGTAATAATTTTTCCAATGCCACCCAGAAAGTTAAGGGGAATGCAAAATAGGTAACCAAGAGTCTTTTTTAATTGTTGACTTTTTGTGTCATACCCAGCAATATCCAGTGGTTATTCCTGGGTCTGTACTCAGGAAACATTCCTGGTGGTGCTCAGGGGACAAATGGAATGATGAGAATCGAACTCAGGTCAGCTGTGTGTAAGGCAAATGCCCTACACACTATACTATCACTCTGGTCCCGAACCAACTCTTTTTATATCAATAAAAACAATGCTGATCAGTTCTTAACTTTGATCTTCTTAAATGCTAAACTTGTGAATGCAAGATTCTGAAATATACAAATTTCTATTTAATTGAAGAAACAAGGTGTCTTCTGTACCTTGAATCGTAGAGTACAAATCTAGCTCAGGACAGCAATAGCTTTATGATTTCAAGAAGACTCCTTTGTCCTAGGAAAAACTAAATGAAGATTAGCAGCCAAAAGGAATGTCCCTATTCAAGAAATTCTCTGAGAGGCATGTTGAAATACTCAATATTTTGAAGTAACAAAAGCATATCAAGAAGGAAAAATAAACTGTACCTCATGGTGTTTCACTAATAAAAAATTTTTTAAAAAAAGAAAAATAGACATTGGTGGAAAAACGAAGCTAGAGTGAGAAGAAACAGGCTCTGCCACTAATGACTTTCAGTACGTCACTGGCTTTCTCTGAACTTTGCTTTCACCATCTATAAACAAGCTGTTGTTCTGTAAGTTTCCCCAGCTCTTATATTCCAAGACCAGGGGGTTATTAGTGACACCTAAGTTGGAGAAAGGCATCATTCAGCTCTGGCTTTGTCATGAACATGAACTGTACCGCAGGCATGTCCCTCACCAGTGGAGGACCTCTCAGCACATTGTGAGATGCTATACAGGGTCAGTCATAGCCTGCCTTGAATTGTCACCTTGTAGACTCCTGCTTATAATTAGGAATGTGGCTGTCAACTCCCAAAGGCCAAGCTATAGAGACTTATGAAAACCAACTTACATCTGTCCTCGGGTAAACAACAGGATGCCTCAGGATCACAAAAACACCAGTTGGCATCAGGAGGAAGAGCATCTGAAATGCATTAGGTTGCTGCAAGCCTGCCCTCCAAAAGTTGTCAAGAAAAATTTAATTGGCTTTGGTTTTTTTTTTTTCACCATCTTTAAGGGATTGTTGGGAGGATTTAAGGCCAAGAAATCTGGTCATTTGCAGCCACAAGAAGGTCCATAAACATCCTAGGCTAACGTCCCAGGTCTAAGAACCCTGTGTGGAAGAGTTCTCATGAACTTGTTCTTAGCCAGTGGGGCCTGGTACTGAAGACTCTGACCAGAGGCATTTGGCTGAAGGAGGCTGGTGGTGCATGTGCATGCTTGGGATGCAACTTGGTGGAACGAAGTTTTCTAAGACCTTTCTTCTTCCCCTGAAGGTACTACAAGTTTCCTGGGGGCAATGATGGATGGCTCAGAGCAGGGCTCATGCATCATTGCTTGTAGATTATGCCACCTTTCCCTAGCCATGGATGCCTTTGATATCCATTCATCACGAGTCCTTTAGGTCAAAGAAGAAAAGACTAGAGGCTGGTCTGGAGTGATAGCACAGTGGGTAGGGCATTTGCCTTGCATGCTGTCAACCTAGGTTCGAGTCCCAGCATCCCATATGGTCTCTGGAGCACCGCCAGGAGTAATTCCTGAGTGCATGAGCCACGAGTAACCCCTGTGCATTGCCGGGTATGACCCATGAAAAGAAAAAAGAAAAGACTAGAGGCCTCAAAACCACAACCACAAAATGAAATGAGGCCTTGTGGAATACAAGACAAGATAGTGCTCTTACGATATAATGAAACTTTTCATTTTTAAAGCCATGTGTGTTTACTTGTGCCATTTACTTAAGTTTGCTTGAGCAACTCTCAACATTTTATTCAACTATAAAAAGAGGAAGATTGGAACAAGCAAAATAAAAATCAAAGGAATTTGAAATTCAAAGGATCTTTGACCATGTTTTTAACTGACTTGTTTAGTAGATGAAAATCTGAAATATAGGGAGATAAATTTACTTCTGAGGAGTTACTTAAGAAACTGAAAAAAATTCACACATAGTTTGGTCCTGAGTCCAGTGTTTACTGTGACCGTCTAGAGAGACTTTTAGTTTCCATCATTCTCTCAAAGTCCATGACCTGTGGATTTTCTGAAGTTTTCCACGCTAGATCACTGGACTACTTCTGGGATAGGAGGTGATGCTTTTATAAGAAGATGTGATGTGATTAGTGTTAGAGACAAAGGTGATCATGACTGGGAATGACTGATGATGAAGGCTCCACCATGACATGGTCTGGGATTGATGACCCTGGCTACAAATGGGTCGAACTAGAAATATCAGTGCCAAAGAAGATCCTCACACAGCTCTCTCCCAGGCTAGCTTGACCAGGAAGTGCCAGGGTCCCATGGTGGCATAATCTACAGTGGGTAAGATGTAAATTCTACTGATACTTATCTCTTTCCCCATGGCTGACCTGACCAGTCTGTCTCTTGTCCCTGCCCCTTCCTTCTCTTAACAGTGTGTGGTCAGCCCTCCCGCTCTCTGCCAAACCTGGTCAAGCGGATCATTGGAGGCCGGAATGCTGAGCCGGGCCTTTTTCCCTGGCAGGCCCTCATCGTGGTAGAGGACACGTCAAGAGTGCCCAATGACAAGTGGTTTGGGAGCGGGGCCTTGCTCTCTGAGTCCTGGATCCTCACAGCAGCCCATGTGCTGCGCTCCCAACGCAGAGACAACACAGTGACTCCAGTGTCCAGAGAACATGTCACCGTCTACCTGGGTCTTCATGATGTGCGAGACAAATCAGGGGCTGTGAACAGCTCAGCGGCCCAAGTACTGCTCCACCCAGATTTCAACATCCAGACCTACAACAACGACATAGCGCTGGTGCAGCTACAGGAGCCTGTGCCCTTGGGACCCCACGTCATGCCCATCTGCCTGCCCAGACCAGAACCAGAAGGCCCAGCACCCTACATTCTGGGCCTGGTGGCCGGCTGGGGCATCTCCAATCCCAATGTGACAGTAGATGAGATCATCAGCAGTGGCACACGGACCTTGTCGGATGTCCTGCAATATGTCAAGTTACCTGTGGTGCCACACGCTGAGTGCAAAACCAGCTATGAGTCCCGCTCCGGCAACTACAGCGTCACGGAGAACATGTTCTGTGCTGGCTACTACGAAGGGGGCAAGGACACATGCCTTGGAGACAGTGGTGGGGCCTTTGTCATCTTTGATGAACTGAGTCAGCTCTGGGTAGCCCAGGGCCTCGTGTCATGGGGGGGACCTGAGGAATGTGGCAGCAAGCAAGTTTATGGGGTCTACACGAAGGTCTCCAACTATGTAGACTGGGTGTGGGCGCAGCTGGGCTCCCCACAAGGTCTAGGGGAGCTCCAGGTGGAGCGGTAAGCCAACCAAGCCCCCTGCCATGCCCAAGCGGGGCTCTGCCACACACTCCTGATGGCACACTCCAAGTTAATCACAGATTCCATGAACGGAAGACACTGACCCTCCTCCTGACACAAACTCCCAGGACTCAGAGAGGCAGCTGTGTGGTT